GAGACATGTTACGGGCATGATCTCCTTAAAAGTCCCATCACCAACGGGCCCTCACGGCATAGTGCGAACAAAATACCTCGAACATGCTATGAGCATACCCCGAGACATGCTATGGGCATGATCTCCTTAAAAGTCCCGTCACCAACGGGCCCTCACGGCATAGTACGAGCAAAACACCTCGAACGCGCCATGAACATACCCCGAGACGTGCTACGTGCATGATCTCCTTAAAAGTCCCGACGCCAACGGGCCCTCACGGCATAGCACGAGAAAAACTCCTCCAACATGCCATGAGCATACCTCCAAACATGCTAGAGGCATGACAGGCATGATCTCGCCAAATAAATATCACGAGCAAACACTTCGAGTGATGCTCGAGCATGACCATTCCCAGGGTGACAATCTTGACCAAAAAGGAACTATCATCGTCCTCGAGCTCGGGGTCGCACAACATCAATCCAGGTAAAGGGCCATCCTCGAGCTCATTACTTTAGTTACAATTCAAAGAATGAGCTATCCTCGAGCCCATTACTTTAATTATGAACTGTGCTCTCCTCGAGCTCAGAATTCACTTCAAAGAATGACCTATCCTCTAGCCCATTACTTTAATTATGAACTGTGCTCTCCTCGAGCTCAGAATTCACTTCAACGAATGAGCCATCATCGAGCTCATTACTTTAGTTACAAACTGGCTATCCTCGAGCTCCGATCTCACTTCAGCAAATGAGCTATCCTCGCGCTCATTACTTGTTACAAAATGGGCCATTCTCGAGCTCATTACTTGTTGCAAACAAGGACTCCTCGAGCTCAGAATTCAATTCAGTGAATGAGCCATCCTCGAGCTCATTACTTTAGTTACAAACTGGCTATCCTCGAGCTCAAATCTCACTTCAGCAAATGCCCTATCCTCGCGCTCATTACTTGTTACAAAATGGGCCATCCTCGAGCTCATTACTTGTTGCAAACAAGGTCTCCTCGAGCTCAGAAATCAATTTAATAAAAGAGCATTCGCCAAGCATAACTCTAATTACGAACTACCCCTCCTCGAGCTCGTGACGTCAAGGTAACGATCTCACATGGTGCTCCGAGCACGATCATTCCCAGAGTACCTGCTCAGAAAAAGTACTCGCATAGTGCTCGAGCTCGAGATTGTGCCAACTCAATATTACATGATCTGTCGTCGAGCTCGTGACATCAATATAACATGAGCCATCCCCAAGCTCTTGACTTTGTTATTATCTGAG